AAAAAAAAAAAAAAAAAGAAAAAAAAGAATCTCTTCAGAAGAGGACCGGAAGAAAGAGACAAGTCTGAAATGGAACATGTAAGAGAATCATAAAGCTGGAAGAAAAATAACACTCAGGGAAGACATTCAACTTGAGGCGATTAAAAGCAATAGAAAGGAAGAAAATGGAAAACAAGATTTTGGTTGTTTTACAGTAGTTCCTGAATATGCAGTCATGGAAACCAATCAAAACTTTCTTAGATGAGACCAATTTTATTGGTATTCAAAATTCCAATATTTTGTTCTTTAAACCAGCTCCCTGGACAAGACAAAAATCCTTTGATAAGCTGCCTGTCACAAATTTTCCTTTGAAAAATGTTCACAGCAACTACAGAAATTCAGAGATTTATAAGACAATGGTCCTTTTCCTGCATGTTTTTGAAATACTTATGAATCAACTAATATGCCTCATAAGCAACCTAAAAAGTTAATGTAGAAGTTCTTTTCCAGGCATCTTTCCTCTCCCATGGGCTTGCTTTGTGATCTGGCTCAGCCCAGAAGCATTGGCAGGGCCTCCATGATTTCTTTTCACTGACCCAGTCTCTGCTGTCTATTTACAACTCAATTCTTAACAACATGCCATACTTACTCTCCAGTATGTCTGTCTTGATTGATTATCTTCCTATTTTATTTTGGTTTTGGTGCCTTCAGTTATGTTACTTTGGGTTTCTTGCATTTCATTTTGCTATACCAAAATGCCATGTAAGTAAGTTCTGTGTGAAAGACAGAAAACAAAAATAACCGTCATTAGGAGATACCTTAATAATGAGTCCAGTGAAACTGGCTCCAGATCCCTGCTTAGAAAAACTGTAACCTTCTGTGAGACTGAAACCAAACTTACAGAGCAGAGACAAGGGTAATACCTCCCAACTTGTTTCACAAGACTAGAATTACCATGATAAAAACCAAAGACATTTCAAGAAAACTAAATGATAAGTCAACATCCCTTACAAACATGGAGACAAAATTTTTAACAAAATATTAGCAAATTGAATCCTTAATACATCATGGCCAATGCAAGCCTAGTTTAACATTAGCTAATCAATAATATAATCTACCATATTAACAGAATAAAGGAGAAAAACTATATGATCATCTGAATAGATGAAGCAGTATTTAACAAAATCTAACATGATGAAAACTCTCATGGATAGGCCACTTTCCCAACCAAATAAGCAGCGTCTATGAAGAGCCAACATCTAACCTGATGCTTAGTGAAAAAGTGGCCATTTTCCCCAATATCAGGAACAATGTGATGTCTACTCTCCACTCCTACTCAGAGTGTTATTGGAGGTCCTAAGCAGTGCAATATGGTAATGACAAGAAATAAAACTCTCTTTATACATATACATGGGTGATATGATCACATACTTAGAAAAATCTAAGGACTTTACAGTAAAAGCTACTAAATCGAGGTTGTAGATTAATAAAAAAATTGTACTTCTATATACTACCAATAGACAATTGGAAAATGAAATACATCCTTTATAACAACATTGAAAATAAGAAACAAGGGTAAATTTGACAAAGCACATGCAAGCACAGTATTCTGAAATTTTAAAATGTCACAGAAAGAAACTTAAAAAGACCTAAATTAATGAGATACACCATGGATTGGAAGACTTAGGAAGTTTTTTTGTAGAAATTGGCAAGCTGATTCTATAACTTATATAAAATTGCAAGTGCCTAGTAGAGTCAAAATAATTTTTAACAACAAAGTTGGAGGATCTACACTGATTTTAAGACTTGCTATAAAGGTACAGAAATAAAAACAGTGTGGTATTAATATAAGGATTGTCCTATAAATCAATGGGACAGAAGAGAGTCCAGAAACAGACCCACATATTTTTGGTCAACTGATTTCAGCAAAAGTACAAGGTAATTGAGTGGGAGACAGTTTTCTAAAAATGATGCTGTAAAGTATATATCCATGGGGGGAAAATTAACCTTGACCTCACACCATACACAAAAATAAACTCAAAATGGATCATAGGACTAAATTCAGAAGTAAAACTGAAATTTCTAGAAGAAAATGTTTGCGATCCTGGGCAGGTACATTAGTTTCCATAACAAATTACTGCTGGTGGTAAATTTAAACTGGGTGGCTTAAAACAACAGAAATTTATTCTCTCACAGTTCTGAAGGCCAGAAGTCTGAAATCAAGATGTCAGCAGAGCCGTCTTCCCTTTGAAGGCTCTAGAGGAGAATCCTTGCCTTTTCCAGCTTCTGGTGGCTCCTGGCACTCCTTGGCTTGTGGCAGCATAAGGCCAATCTCTGCCTCTTTCTTCGTATGTCCGTCTTCCCATATGTCTCTTCTCTTATTGTTAAGAACACCAGTCATTGGATTTATAGCTCACCCGCACCTTATCTTAATTACATCTGCAAACAACCAAATTTTCCAGATAATTCCAAATAAAGTCACATTCTAAGGTTCCAGATGGACTTGAATTTTGGGGGGACACTAGTCAACCCACTACAGAAGGCAAAGGTTTCTTAGGCGAGACACACACATGCATGCATACACACACAAATTGATAAATTTGACTTCATCGAAAAACACACACTTCTCCCTGAAAGGACAGTTAAGAAAATGAAAATGTAAGCTACAGACTAAGAAAAAATAGTCACAATATTCTGACAAATGACTTGGATCCAGAATATCTCTTACAATAAGATAATCAGCCCATTAGAAAAATGGAAAAAGATATGAATAGACACATTGGGAAAATGTAAATGGAAACCACAATGAGATACCTATGCATGCTCACTACAATAGCTAAAATTCTAAAAGACTAGCAATACATGTTTCGGCCAGGAATTGGAATAACTAAATCCCTCAGCCATTGCTTAAGGCAGTGTAAAATGGTACAACCACTTAGGAACAGTTTGGCAGTTTCTTACAATGTTAAACATTCAAGTACCATTTTACTACCTTGTAATCCCATTCCTATGTATTTACCAAGGAGAAATGAAAACATATGTCCACAAAAAGGCTTGTACAACTTATTGCAAGGACAAATATTCAATTCTCAACAAGCTGTGGAAAATGCCTTTTGAGATTTCATCACCACTCGCTCTCTAGGCTTCTTCACTGCTGGCATAAGCAAGGTACCATTAAGATGGCAAAACTGTGTTGCCAGTTTATGTGCATACCTTAATTGTACTGCTTTTCATTTGAGGTATAATAAACTACACTTTTGATTCGAAATTGGATATTTCATATTAAATAAGCCAATACGCATAATTATTAAAAATAAAATTTTAAAATTAAAAAAAAGGTTGGTACACAAACGTGTAGATTTATTCATCATGGTCTCAAATTGGAAATATCCCAAATATCCATCCATAGGAGAATGGATAAACAAACTGCAGCGTATCTATACAGTGAAATACATTTCAGCAATACCAAGGAATGAAGTACTGATACATGCATGCTAAACAGGGACAAATCTCAAAACATGCTCAACAAAGAGAACCTGCCATAAAATTTTTGTGTATAGTCTGCGCGTAGTTCCAATTACATGGAATTCAAAACAGACAAAACTGATCCACGAGGCCAGAGAGGCCATCAGTGGAAATCTGGGGCCAGGCTGGGACAGAGGGGCAGCAGGAAATGTTTTGTAGGGATG